GTCAGGGGTGGTGTGCAGGAGACAGGCAGGGACACCGGTCAGTTCTAAAGCTAAGCTACTACAACTATTTTTACACTATTTTTTATTTTATCAGTATAACTCTTTTTTGGAAGTGACCTGGCCACAAATGATAGCTCAACGGAGGAGCTTATCATCGCGTGGAAATTTATATCAACCAAATACTCTAAACCCACGTCGATTCTAAGTGTGGAGGGAAAAACTGGAGGACCCGCAGAAAAACCCACACGACCACGGGGAGAACATGCAGACTCCAAATATAAAGGCGTTAGGGTCGGGATCAAATCCACGACCTCCTGTATACCAGGCGAGGTAGCTAACATCTCACTACTGTGGCCCCAGTTCGTAGACAGACAGAGATCAACAGGTAGCTAAGATATGATAGTTTGGCTTTGACTCAGACGAGCGAAGTGACCTGTCAGTTGGTTGACCAGGCAGCAGAAGCACAAAGGAGTGGCTCAAGAAGAAGCACATTAAGGTCCTGGAGTGGCCTAGCCAGTCTCCAGACCTTAATCCCATAGAAAATCTGTGGAGGGAGCTGAAGGTTCGAGTTGCCAAACGTCAGCCTCGAAACCTTAATGACTTGGAGAAGATCTGCAAAGAGGAGTGGGACAAAATCCCTCCTGAGATGTGTGCAAACCTGGTGGCCAACTACAAGAAACGTCTGACCTCTGTGATTGCCAACAAGGGTTTTGCCGCCAAGTACTAAGTCATGTTTTGCAGAGGGGGTCAAATACTTATTTCCCTCATTAAAATGCAAATCAATCTATAACATTTTTGACATGCGTTTTTCTGGATTTGTGTTGTTGTTATTCTGTCTTTCACTGTTCAAATAAACCTACCATTAAAATTATAGACTGATCATTTCTTTGTCGGTGGGCAAACGTACAAAATTAGCAGGGGATTAAATACTTTTTTTCCCTCGCTGTACGTTGTCAGGGCTGCCATTCACAGTTGATTATGTACAGAAGCTTCGCTGCCCGATCAGTATGCTTCCAGGAAATTCTGCCCTTTCACAAAAAGAGCGGAGGCTCTACACCAAGCCGGCTGACGGGGGAGATGGCCACAAATTGCAGATACGTGTGTTGAACTCCTTTCACGCAAACCGTGCTCATCGGAGTTGCGGAGGAAGGACAAAAAACTAAACACAAAAAGCAGTTCTAAAGAAATTAGTTTTCAATCTAAAATTCCCACGAGGACAGATCCAGGGGTAAGAGTGAAATTTAAACTAAGAGGAGGCATAGTGCCACGTTTATACAAAAACAGCTTCTTCCGTTGCCTGTCAAAACTCTCCCTGAACAGGTCACGCAAATTCCGAGATGCAGACCCAGAGAAACGTCTGCACGGTATCGCCAACGTTTGTAGAGGTTTCAATTTCGTCACCGTCACTCGGAACTCACCTGCTGGCCGGGATACATTTGCCAGAGGCAAGGCACGACCCTTACTTCTCCCCTTAAAGTCACCTTGGGGTACAACTCAAATACAGCAGTACCCTCCGATAAAACTATTCTGCGCGTTACAATGTATCATATTCCACGTCTCCCTAATTCATTGGCGTTAGGCAGGAACGGAGTGTAAATGCTGGGGAAGAGACTCACAGTTGCCCTTCCCTTGTCCCCACAGCCCCATTTTTCTTCAAGCAATCTATATTTGCAGGCTGAAGCAGTGGCGATATGGTTAGCATACTGCCTTATGAAGCCACCACCCTAAGTTAAACACCTAGCGATATCTGAACCGGTCCTGTGGGCCCCCAATTCAACACCCACTGACCAGCATGATGAAGTACAGTCAAACAATCCCCATATCCGCCGCGGAGCGAGAAGGGGCCTTTAACCAGCAGTGGATTTGCAAAATACTCTAAACTATGTGATCATATGCAACTTAACTCCATTAAAAATGTAATAAATGGTTCTTTTTGGGTTCAAGGGATAGAGAGTGTGGGAGCAAGTGACTGAGACAGGAACCACAGCAGGGCAGCACCAAACGAGGTCATGTGACGTCTAAAAAAGAGAGCCGGTACAGTTTTGCTCTTCATCCCATTTTGGCCACAGAAAAATGAAAAACGCTCTTGTAAAATCTTCCGTTTAATTAAAACGTTTCCACACCCATTGACTAAAGCAGAAAAAAGAGAGAGAGATTGAAATGCAATTGCCAACTTAGAATCGCTTTGTTTATCAAATTACAAGATAAATGAAACTGAGTTGGACAGAATTGTTAAGTTATTAAAAAGCGAGAAAATTTGTTTTAAAATGAGGGGCCGTCAAATGTGGGCCTACAAACAATTATCTTTGAACTAACGAACCAGGCATATTGCCTCTTTAATTAAACGGCTTTGTACAAATGCAGTCTTTCGCTTATGTATGCACTTTAACGTGAAGCTTTGAAACCAAAAAAATCGGACAAAATGTGGGTTTGTACATTGCAAGCAATTGCATTAAGTAAAGCAACACAACTCGATAAACAGCTTACTTTAATTCTCAACCGTCTGTAAGACTGTCATGGTGAAAAAGAAAAAAAAATGAACAAACAGACGCAAAGAAGAGAGAGAGAGGAGAAAGAATGCCGTAAGATCACGCACGCACGCAACAGCGACCCACACGCAGTCAAACGTGCACAAAGGTGGAATAAAATAACGAGAAGGATGCAAACATAAAACGTAAATGTTTAAAATAAGGAATAGTGAGTATTGTGGGGCTCCAGCGCTGGGATAAAAATTCAAACCCTATCTGAGCACAGGATCAATGAAAATATTTTCATAAAACCACTTTTTTAAAGCCAGTTATTGTAAACAAAACGCACCTCCATACGCTGATGCTAGCAGTGTGACACGTAGGCTTTTGTGACCAATATTATTCGTAGCAATGTTATTTCTTTAGGTTAGATCGCATAAGTATAAATGTGTCGTTAAACCCCCACCATCCGACAGCCAATGAGTAAGGTTTGTCACGTAAACAAAACATGCCAATTAGTTACTACTTCAGCCCACCGGTATATTGGGAGAGTAAATTCACGACATTTACAATTTGAGTACGACGTTTTAGCTGGTAATTACATCCAGCAACATGGGACGATTTGCCACAATTCTGGCCATAATTCGGGCAAAATCGGCCGATGATGCTGGAAGCAATTACCGGCGAAACGTCGTACTAAAATTGGAAATTATGCTAGCAAGTGAAGAATAATAAAGGCTTCTCACTCAAATGCAGTGACATTAATACTCGAATCCAAACACAAGTCAACAATAAGGTGTCAAGTTTTTTTTTCTTCCCCCCTGTTCATGTTTCTTGCCAATGCATTTCAAAATGACCCGTGGCTCCGAGGATGGCCCCATTCACATAAGATGGGCAGCAATACGGTTGAGGGATTCAAGACCGAAATTTCTCAACGCTCAGTTCCGCATGACTACACCACGATCCGGACTCCCACGCCTAACCATTTCTTTAATCAAACGCCGCTCGTGCTGAGCACAACTAGCCAGTGACTCATCTCACTTTCAAGGATGTACACTGCCACGGCTCCGTAATTATTCACTGCAGATAATGTTCAAATTTGGCAAAACTTCAACCGTGACACCGTGGCCCACTCTCAATAATGGCGCCAGAATATATTTTTTTCTACTCACATCTACTTTGTTGACAGTGCAAGTAAGCCATGCTCAGCGACATTGCCGAGGGGGTAGAACCGCGACCGTCCGGCTCACTTCGACTACCGCGTTCATCATCCATACAAAACAAGCGGTCACATGCATCAGCACACCGGCGCAACAACGCATGCACAAAAACGATGCCCGGCATAGCCAATACAAACTGTTGGGGGCAAGCGCTGTTCGCAAATTTAACTAAACTAATTTTTTGTTTATTTTACCAGGTAAGGCTCACTGAGCTAGTCAGCTCTTTTTCAGAAGCGACCTGGCCACAAATGATAGCTCAACGAAGCGGCTTATCACCTGGAAATGTACAGCAGCCAAATACTCTGAATGCCTATAAAGATCAGCAGGGCACAAGAGGGGGTGATGGTGTCTCCCCGGTGCTGGCTTTTTCACACTGCAGCAGGTGCTCATTTAAGGCTGAGGTGACCCAGGAGAAGCTCAGGACCAGTTCAGACATTCGCCAGTGATGTTGGACATGGCCGGAAATTGAATTCAGTTGCCAGGTTCTTAGCACAGTGCTCTAACGACTGCTCTACATAGCCTCGACAAACTATTGGGACAAGTGCCGTTTGCGAGCACATACATGCACACACACACACACGTACGAATGTGCATGTACGAACACACGCACACACACACGGACACACAACAACAACCGCCGCCAAGTGGCGGTGACATCTCCGCAAGGCAAAGATCCCCCGTATATCATTAAACAGATTCCTCGGGTAAGTGCTGTTAGCGAGCACCAATGAAGGCCGGGTTGGCACACGAGCGGGTGGGTGGCCAGCACAAACCCTGGCCGCTTTTGTCTCCCCAGTGGCGATGTTTACACATCGCACCAGGTACTCGTTAAAGGCTGAGTCGCCCGAGGGGAAGCCCAGGACCGGTTCAGATAATCGTAACTGGTGTTGGCCAGGAGCGGAAATAAAATTCGGGGCACTGAGTTTGTAGCGTAGCATGCTAACCGCACAAAAAACAAATATCCCCCATATACCCCTAACAGACTGTTGGGGCAAGTGCTGTTAGTGAGCACCTATGAAGGCCGGCACGGCACACGAGGGGGTGGGTGGCCAGCACAAACCCTAGCTGCCTTTGTGCCCCCAGTGGCGATGTTTACACACCGCACTCGGTACTCTCTTGAGGCCGAGTCGACCTAGGGGAGGGCCCAGGATTGGTTCAAGTTATCGTCATCGGTATCGGCCGTGAGCGGCAATCAAACTCGTGTTGTCTGGTTCGTAGCGCAACATTCTCACCACTGCGCCACTGCTCCCCACGCGCGCACACACACACACACACGCGCGCGTGCACACGAACCACTGCACACACGGCTGACCTTGCTACCCTTGCCGCTGCGCGACGAGCCGGACGAGGTGGAGCTGAGCCTGGCGCCGGGCCCGTCGCTGCCGCCGGGCGAGGCTGTCGACGAGGCCGAAGCCGCGGCGGCCGCGGCGGCCGCGGCGGCGGCGATGGCGGCGACAGCGGCCACTCCGGCCGTGCTGCCCGTGGGAGAGCGGTCCGCGATGCAGGCCGCCGCCTCCGAGCCCTTCTCCACCATGCCGCTCCCGTCGGCCGCCGCCGCCTCGGTGGGTCGCGGGGTCCCCGGCCGCCCCTCGCCGCCCTGCCCGATGGGTCGGCCGGGGTCAATGGCGGGTCGGGAAATTTAATCATCTCGCCAAATGTGCCGCGAGGCTCTCCCGGCAGCCGACACAGCCAAACGTTACATTGTCACGTGCGCAAGCGTTATTTTAAAATTATAACATTGGCTGAGGAAACCTAGATGTTAAGCTAATCCCTGAACCTTGTATAGGCATAAATAGGCTATGTGCCCTGTGCTAACCAAAACATGTTGGGAGCTGGCGCCAAGGTGGCGAGATGTTAACTACCTCGCCTGGAATGTATGTACGATGAACTACTTTCGCACCATACATAGCCAACTGTGCTAATCGGAGGTGCGGGGGAAGGACAACAAACTCAACATGACCTCCAAGTATACAGGAGGTCGTGGGTTCAATCCCGACCCTGACGACTGTATAATTGGAGTTTGGATGTTCTCCCTGTGGTCGCGTTGCTTTTTCTCCAGGTCATCTGGTTTTTCCCTCCACGTTTATAAGCAACATGCGTTTAGAGTATTTGGCTGCTATAAAATTGCACATATGCCAGTTTTGCTGAGCTATCAAGGGTGCCCAGGTCGCTTCTGAAAAAGAGCTATATGTCTGAGTGGGCCTTACCTGATGAAATAAAAAATAGTTTAGGGTATGGGAGTTACGTCACTTGTGCCACTTTGCTCTTGGCCGTGATTTTAAAGTCTATTTTCACAAAAATGATGTTTCTACCTGTGCCAGGCAGCACAGGACCCGCAGCCTAGATAGGCATCTACAAGATAAAAAAAATGTTTTTTTTGGATTGCTCTTCCTGCAGCATTAAACAAATAATTTGGTGATACTGCATTGTAATGTGGTGAACAAGTACAGATCAACAAAAAAACTCAACATATTCGTCAAGAGAGGTCCCTCTAAGGCCTCTCTCGAAGAAGAAAAGGCCATTGTACCCAAAACGTCACCTTTTTTGAAAGCAGTATTATTGATGGACGTGTTGATTTTTGTTGTTGTTATTCTTTTTGTAGGCGTTCCACATGTGGGAAGAACTAAGAATATCCAGAGATAACCGACGCACACATGTGATGTGATGGGAGGGAGCTAGACCTAACCAGTATTGGCTCGGTCCTTAGACATGGATATCACGAAACCCCCTGGGGCCACCTAAAAAAAATCAGGATGTCCGACACACAAACTACGAGCTGACATGAGTCGTAAATTTTCATCGAGTCTTCCCGCCGCCATTGTCTGTCTCTTGTCCCTTGCTCCCACTGTCTGACCAACCGGTCAGCTGGTGACATTGCCGGGGCACAACTTGCATTCTAGCAGGAGATCTCAGACTCAAGATCAAAGATTAAGATGTCATGGCGGCCAAAGCCACTGATGCGACCACACCTCGCCAAACGCCTTCTCCCCTAGCGCCAGATCCTGCAGCTGCTGCACAGTAGACACGCGGTGACCTCCAAGATCTGCCCTCACAGCATCCCACCATCTGGTCTCAGTTGTTCCCGTTGGGCACCAGACTCCTGGAAACCACTCCCAATCCCTGATCCAGTAACCGGCTTCTCCTCAATTCAGCACGCGTCCTATCCAGAGCGTAACCTTTTTTTCCCCCCCGAACAACATCTACAAAAACTCACCTGCCACGCTCTCTTCCGGGCTTCTGCATCGCATATCCTGCCGTGCCACAATATCCCTAGCATCCAACACCTGCGCTCAAAGGCCAATAACTTATTTGCGAGTCCGCCTCTCCGATCCACACGGTAATGCAGGTAAGCACTCCCGCAGTAAAGAACCCTTTTCTTCACGCTCGGACCTCTCTGTCGTCATCGCGCAGACTTCCCATAACGACGCGAGGCTGGATCCCGGCCACTGGCGACGCGGGTGGTGCACACGTGGGCGGTTGGGGACAGGTGACCTCATTAGCCGCTCACTCACGGACGTGTTGCAGAGTGCCGTGTTCGCGCTGCGCCCAGGGTAATGAGTGTACAGCCGCGCTTGCACGACACAATCAAGGGCGCTAGTACTCCTACTGCTGCTGCTATTGCCGCTGCCACTGCTGATGCAGGTGTGAAAACCACGGAAGGAAAATTTTCTTGACTAAATTTTCTTGCCGTGGTTTTCACACCTGATGATGATTGTGTTGCAGTCGAAACATCGTGAAAATTTTATTGTTTAATATTTTTATTATTTAATTGTTTCCCTTCTACGTGACTTTACCGAAAGAACCAACAATGTGTGTATTATTATTTAGTCACAAAAAACAGGGCCATTATTGTCATTGTGATAATGTTACCGTTATTTTATTGGGAATGTTAAAATTGATCCATCCTATTTACACTCATATTTATTTTAATTTATCGCTGTTAAGGCTTTGTGGAAATTTGATTCATTCATTCAGAATATATTCAAGGAATTACATTTATTCACTTGCCCTTAAATACCAGCAAAGTCTTATATGCTTATTATACAATAACACAGGTGGTAAATTAAAAATTAACAGCTCATCGTACCATTTTATTGTTTACGAGTTACAATATTACTGTTGGTTTATATTTACTGCTTCGGGCAATAGACAACCAAACCAACCTAACCTGGTGTTAGGTTCGGTGAGGTGTTTTAAATCATTATCGGTGAGGTGTTTTAAATCTTTCACAATGACGAGGATTAACATTTCACTTACGGCAGAGACAACGGGCACACAATCACAATCCGTCATCCTGCCAGCAACGGCGCGTTACGGCTGTCAGCCCCGGCGCTACGGTGACGCAAACTAAAATGGCTGCGTCGGTCGGTCGCTGCGTTTTCGGGAGGTGCGCTCCGGCCGCCGCGACGTACGCGCACTGCGCGGCGGTAACAGCCCCCCCCCTCAACTCCACCCCCCCCCCCCCCCCCCCCCCACACACACACACCACCACCTTCCCGAATCCGCTCGCCACTCCGCGCGTGGCGCACCGTGACCCCCCGAGTGGAACGGCGCTCGGGGGGGGTCGGCTCGCAAACGGGGTCACGGGGGCCAAGACGAGCCACCGCCGGCTGTCAACAACATCAGCGCCGTCGATCTCATTAACGATGGATGGAGGGGACACCTCATTTCTCTTACGTGGCCAAGCACAGAGATGAGCAATGACCCCCCCCCCCCCACCACCACCACCCCCCCCCTGCGGCCACGGGAAATCTGCGAAAGCAGGTTACGCAACCCGATAAACATGCAATTACTTTTTGGAGAGAATGCACGTTCAATGCGGCAATTATTACCATGCATGAGTGTTACATTTCCTGCTTTAATGACGTGAGAATATACTGAAATTCTCTATATTTGTATGGGATATGACAGTTATGAATGGTTGGCGATGCTTCGCAACTCAGGTCGTCTGCCTGTCCGTCTGTTTATTTGGGATTTACCCTGCAAGAAAGTAGCCAAATTGCGATAAAGAGTTGTTCAAAACCTGGCGGCAAATAAGCAAACACTCAAAAGTAATTGCCTTGCTGGCCAAGGCAAAAACATCATTACAGGTGACACCGTGAGAAGACATCATTGCGTGTGACGTCATCTAGCTGCGTGACTTGGAACACGTTATCCTCGTCAATTTAGACTTTCAAGAGGACAAACGCATATTGTAAAGTGTTACAGGAATCCAGGCGTATGCGTGACGTTTCTTCCTTGTTTGGTCATTGATAAAACAAAAATTCAATAATTCACATCCCGCTTCACAACGTGTTACCACACAAAGTTGCGCCAATTAAAACTCCCTACAAACCAAAGCAACGGGACTAAGAGTTTCATGTTGTGGACACGAAGCCAGGTGCGGTAATGCATACCTGTAATCCAGAATTGTTACAAATGACACGGATCTGTTTAGAGCTCTTAAGTCCACTGGGCTGCGCGGTGGGGGGGAGTGGGGGGAGATCGCAGGACAGCAACGGGGTTCATGGCTCCCCCTCTGTGCAGACCTTTGAGCGGTATCATCTCGAATGTGTGGCTTTTCTCCAAATGCTCTGATTTCCTCCCAGAATAATTATTGAGCACAACATCTCAATGCAAGCTCGTCCGGGTAACACTTGAAATTCATTGAGGCTTTCATGGAGTAAAACAAAAAATGATATCATACATGCGTGGAAAAAAACGCGGTTTGACAATAATATCATTTTTTATTTTTTTTAAACACATCATTAAACCTGGGACGTTAAATTCACTCGAGGATAGTGCAAACTTGGTAATGGAAAGAAAAGAAGAGCGTCACGTAGTAGCAACCGGGCCTATCGAAACACGTTCCGTCCGTGGTCAGAAACAATTAAGCGTCGCGGTGCGTAATTATCACCGTTACAACAAGCGCAACAGGAAACCTATTTCGGGTCTCTGTCGTGTCCACACGCGCCACGACACAAAGACGCAGCGGAAAAATCACGTCCAACGCACAGACACGCGCTCACCGGACGTCGGCCATGCTCCCGCGGTTGGGGGCGGCCCCCACCAGGGCAAGAGGCCAAAGGAGAAACGGACGCAGAGAGGTTTTTGTTTGGGTTAGATCGCGTGGATACGAATGCGTCGGGACCTAACCTTTAATCGTGAAAAACGTTGGTCACCAAAAAACCTAACGCGTTAAAACGCACATGGAGAGCGGCCCCGCCTCGGCCAACGCGCGAACGAGTATCCAGCAATGCCTCCTGACGTGGGCGGCGTCGACGCGATGCCGTTCTGCCCCGGGCGGATATGCGCACCTGCATCATCGTTTTCACGGAGCCCTTCATCAACGCAAATCCGTCCGTTGGCTCCCGATCCAATCCCGGATCAACTTCGAGACTGCACTCGCCATCGTCAAATCCTCCGCGTCACTCCCCGCCCACCCCCCTGCCGCTGCTTCTCTGCTTTCCTCGCACTCCACTCCCCTCCTCGAGCTCTCTGCTCCAGCCACCAGGGCTTTTCTGTCGAAGCCCCCAGTCAACCTTCTGCTTTGTGGGAGGTCGCTCGTTCTCCTCTGCTGTCCCTAAAGTCTACAAGTCCCTCGCCTCAGCAGTCCGGTGTCATCAACTCTCTGCCTCAGATTTGGCACCTTAGACTATTCCTCGTCCTCGCGAGTAACTAAATAAATATGTATTATTTCCCATGAATGATTAAGTTCCATTGTTGGAGTTGTATTTAAATGCTATCATATACAGTAAAACCTTGGATTGCGAGTAACTTGGTCTGCGAGTGTTTTGCAAGGCGAGCAAAATTTTAAAATATTAATTTGATAAACGAGCGAGGTCTTGCAATACGAGTAGTACGTGTACGCTTTGTCTGCCGAGCGTCACGTGATCACGACTGATATACGAGTACTTTGATATGCGAGTGCTTTGGATTACAAACACGTTTCCGGAACGAATTATGCTCGCAATCCAAGGTTTTACTGTACATCCAAATTGTATTGAATGGCCATATATTAGCATTGCCAGGTGACCGACATCCAGAGAAAACTATTTCCGACTATTTTACCAGATAAGGCCCACTAGCTCTTTTTCAGAAGCGACCTGGCCACAAATGATAGCTCTATGAAGTGGCTTATCACGTGGAAATGTACAGCAGCCAAATACTCTAAACGCGTGTTTCTAAATGTGGAGGGAAAAACTGGAAGACCCGGATAAAAATCCACGTGACCACGGAGAGAGACATGCATACTCCAAATATACAGGTGCCAGGGTCGGGATCGAAATCGCGACCTCCTGCGTACCAGGTGAAGAAGTTAACATCTCGCCGCCGTGGTGCCTAGGTACCATCACAGTCTCCCCTCCACTGCATCTCCCACTGAACTCACTCCATTCTACTCAAGGCTACGTAAGGATACAAAGAGCAAGAAGGAAGCTTAGAATTTGGGTGTGGCGGTGCATATAGGTTAAGGCTTTGGAGGCAAGGGTTGGTGAATCACATAGATTTGTGAATCTTCCAAACCCACTGAGCTTTGAGGTGCCTAGGAAATAGCAGCACAACATAATTATTCGTGAGCCCGCCCACACAGTAGACACTGTGAGCACTCTCCCCTCGTATGCATGGATTTTCCACTGGCACTCCCAATTTTCTCCCACATTTAGATATATTCCCTTAAATACTCCTTAACATAAGGGCAGGCGAGGTCAGGTGTTTGTCCTTGTGGCGTCTCTGACTATTGACTCCGGAGTCACATTCGGCCAGTGGTGTCTATCTCTTGGTAGTTTTCGATTTAAAGCTTTCGTGACTGCAAGGATTCATCTTCTTTGGTTCTTTCGGTAAAGTCACGTAGAATGAGAATAAAATAATAAAATAACAAAATAAAATTCTCACGACGTTTCGGCCACAACGTCCCGACAGGTCTGTTCCTTTCACCTGAAGACGGCCGCTTGCGTTGTGGCCGAAACGTCGTGAGAATTCTATCGTGTTATTTTATTATTTTATTCTCATTCTACGTGACCTTACCGAAAGAACAAAAGAAGATGAACTCTTGGTAGTTCTTCGAAGTTCATCCAGTTGCTTCCGGTTGTTACCCCATGTTTTGAATTCATGGATCTCTGCATTTCATAAAAAAAAACAAGTCGCTCCACTGTGTCCAGGACGTACAACCGGACTTTTACCTGGTGGATCCCATTTGCAAGTTACCTTTGCCAGCCGCCTATAAACTCAAGAGCATTATTTTAGCCGGGCGCTGCGCAGCGCCCGGCTAAAATAATAAAGATGGCACAGCAAGTGGGTGAGTGGTTGGGATTTCTCCGGGCACTCCGGTGCATTCCCACATGGAAAACGCTCGTTCATTGAATTGACGAATCATTCCACCTGTGAGGAACCCCCTTTTAAAAAATCTTCCTGATAACACGGTGAAGCCTTCCTGGATTATTGCTGGATAAATCACATCATCAGCCATCCTCAGCCGACACGCGAGCACGGGACTTACCCTTAGGTCGCGAGGGGAGGGCTGGGGACTCGGCGGTCGGCAGTCAGCCTGCGGGGTTGGGGGTCGCAGGTCAAACTGCGGGGTTGGGGGTCGCAGGTCAGCGGGGTGCTGCGGGGTCGGAGGGCGCGGCTCGGATAGCTGCGGAGTTGGGGGCCGGGACTCGGGCAGGGAGCGCCGGCCCAGGGTCGGGGAGCAGTTGGGGGTGCCACCACTTGCCCTGCTGGCGCACACAGCAAAAGACAAAGATCCCCCATATAGCCTGAACAGACTTTTGTGATGAGTACTGTAAGCGAACACCTATGAAGACCAGCACGGCACACGAATGGGTGGGTGGCCAGCGCCATGCTCGGCCGCCTTTGGCTCCCCAGTGGCGATGTTTACACATCGCACCAGGTACTCATTTGAGGCCGAGTCGACCTAGGGGAGGCCTAGGACTGGTTCAGATATACATCACTGGGTGTTGGCCGTGAGCGGGATTCGCACTCAGGTCACCGGGTTCAGAGCGCAGCACGTTAACCACTGCGCCACCACTCTACAGTAGCCGCGCACACCCCATGACTAACACAGGTGTGTGGATCTTATAAGTGCCTACAGGGCCCAAGGTCAGTGGCATGGAATATTTCAAGTGATATTTTCCCTTAGTTTGCAATGTAAATCGGTATGAACCTGGGGAGAAATCCTCCTTAAGGTATTTTATGCAACTGGATCCTGGTTAGACCAGGGGTGGAGGGGACTCAGGCCTGGGGGCTACGGGATTCATGAGCTGGGCATGGTGGTAGCACATATGCCTGTTATCCCAGGGCTGGATTTAGAGGCAAGGATTGATGGGTCAAATATATGAGTCACTGTTACACCTGCCAGGCAATGAGATGGCCAACAAAAGGCAGTACGGCATCCGGGTTAATGCACACATCTGTGCATAGCTAGGGTATTCCCTCGTACGCATGGTTTTTCTTTTGGGTATTCCGGCTTTTATTGCGTGCACAAAACGCCGGTTAAAATGGAACCGATTGAATAACCCACTGCAGAGGTCTCCGGAACAAAAGAGACTCGAGACACAAATGAGGCTTTCCTACTCAAAATGTGCCAGCGGATCTGCAAAGCTAAAGCAGGAACCGGTGACGGACCCATGAACCCACACATCAGGAGACACTTTAAAAATTCCTGAGGCGTGGCTCCAACCTGTGATATAGTGCGACCATACAATGCTGCTTTCTGTACCAGGCCTGTGCGATTGTCACGGTGGATGTCAGGGAGTGCCGAGCGCGCACTGCAGCTACGTTCACATCCTCCACGCTAGCACCCGGCCACGTCCAGGGCAATCCAGAGCCGCGGCTACGGCCGCCGCATCTTTCATGATCCCGGCCAACACGCAACAACAGTTACACCTCAAACCGTGCAGCCACAGGTGTAACTAGCATTGGCTAAATAAATAAAAGTACAAGGAGTTTTGGGAACCACTAGATTATGCTAACGGGGGGGGGTGGGGGGCAAGGATTGTTAGCGAGCCAACAGCTCGGCTGGTGGGGTCGGCACAACACCCGGGGGCCACCTTCTCATTTCCCGGCGTGAGCGCGATGCTCACACACGACCGACACCGATGGGCATGTCCAGTATTTAAGGCCAGTAAAATAGCGCCGCGCATCTGGATATAGGTCCCCCCCCCCTCTACTACACGCGCTGCCGGCCTTGAAAGGATGACGGTTGCAAGGAGAAAGACACGAAAGGAGGCAGAGTGGCCCCCCCGAGGTCTTCCGGGAGTGGATGAAACCCACTTAGGCATAGTCCCACATGAAACGTGCATAACATAGCAAGAGACAGCAGCAGCAGACATGTCCTTGTCAATGCAAGGCGTCGTGTCAATACAGCGATGAGTCAAAATTGATTCTCAGTGACTCCCAACCATTCTCATCAGCGAATGCAAATTGTGTGTGTGTGTGTTACGTTGTTGTTGTTTGTTGGGTGCTGTTAGCCATTGCCTCTTTAAATGCAATGTGCCAGTTGAACGCAAGATAGTGTTTGGGTAGGAAATATAACAACAGAGGAAGACAAATACTCCTCTTGGAGGCCTAACAGACTTTTGGGACAAGTGCTGATTGCGAGCACCTATGAAGGCTGGCACGGCAGGGTACACGTTTGGCTACGCACGTAGCCAACCGTGCAAATCAGAGGTGTGGGTGGCCAGCACCATGCCCAACCGCCTTTGTCTTCCCAATGGTGATGTGTTCACACTACACCAGGTTCTTAATTGAGACTGAGTCAACCTAGGGGAGGCCCAGGACCAGTTAAGATAATCGTCACTAGTGCTGCCTGTGAGCAGGAACTGAACTCGAGTTGCCGGGTTCGTGGTGCAGTGCGGTAACCGCTACACTACCGCTCCCCACAATTAGAGAAGATACATATCTTAAACAAAATCGATTCATAGATCAATTGCCTACATCAACTTATGCAAAAGCACAGCTTTCAGGAGACTCGCCCACTTGACTGGCTCACCAAGCTTCTTTTTAAATTGGTATATGATGCTCTGAAGGCATCTATGGCCCATGCATTATGACTTGTGTGGCTTTAGTTACAGGTCTCTCAATTGCCTGTTTACAATACCGGATGTTTGTGCGTTACGGTGACCATGTGATATCATTTACGTCACGTCTAGTTGCTCTACCATGCCCTAATGGTTCGAGCAATTTTCATCGTGCCCTTCATGCCAAACTGTGTTTTTTTCTTTTTTACGCAATGGTTCATTATGTCAACATCTCACTCTGTAGTCCCGTGCCAATGTGAACAGAACCAAACGTTAATTGTGCCCCACTGAATTAATTTAACATGAGCCACGAATTCCAAGCAAGCAACTCGCTTCTTTCAACGAATAATCGTCGATGGTCTTTTTTGCAATGCACAATCTTGTTTTGTTTGTTCTGTGCCATGCGGGAATAACATTTAATCCAAGGGCTGGGATTCAAACGTCAATTTTTTTTTTAGATCGTCGCCAAAACAAGACAAAACCCGCAGTGAAGATATTTTGTGACTGCCTCAGTTATTACAGTGCAATTAAACGCGTGCCATGCCTCAGTACCTTCAGTGCTCGGCGAGGGTTTGGTTTTCTAAAGCAATCTTGAAGGATGCAATTCCTGCAAGCGTCCTGGTACCTGGTGCTGAAATTTAGGCTGGCCTAACGGTTCCTCGAATCTCATTGAAGAATCACAATCAATCAATCAGTTTTGTCTGTTTAACCAGGCGGGTGCTCATTGAGACGCAGCATCTATTTTACCAGGGAGAACCTGTGCTACCTTAAGTTTGAATTAAAACATTTGGGGGGGCGAAATTGACGAGTTTACAGTGAGGGAAAAAAGTATTTGATTCCCTGCTGATTTTGTACGTTTGCCCACTGACAAAGAAATTATCAGTCTATAATTCTAATGGTAGGTTTATTTGAACAGTGAGAGACAGAATAACAACAACAAAATCCAGAAAAAACGCATGTCTAAAATGTTAAAAATTGATTTGCATTTTAATGAGGGAAATAAGTATTTGACCCCTCTGCAAAACATGACTTAGTACTTGGTGGCAAAGCCCTTGTTGGCAATTACAGAGGGCAGACGTTTCTTGTAGTTGGCCACCAGGTTTGCACACATCTCAGGAGGGATTTGTCCCACTCCTCTTTGCAGATCTTCTCCAAGTCATTAAGGTTTCGAGGCTGACGTTTGGCAACTCGAACCTTCAGCTCCCTCCACAGATTTTCTATGGGATTAAGGTCTGGAGACTGGCTAGGCCACTCCAGGAGCTTAATGTGCTTCTTCTTGAGCCACTCCTTTGTTGCCTTGGCCGTGTGTTTTGGGTCATTGTCATGCTTGAATACCCATCCACGACCCATTTTCAATGCCCTGGCTGAGGGAAGGAGGTTCTCACCCAAGATTTGACGGTACATGGCCCCGTCCATCGTCCCTTTGATGCAGTGAAGTTGTCCTGTCCCCTTAGCAGAAAAACACCCCCAAAGCATAATGTTTCCACCTCTATGTTTGACGGTGGGGATGGTGTTCTTGGGGTCATAGGCAGCATTCCTCCTCCTCCAAACACGGCGAGTTGAGTTGATGCCAAAGAGCTCCATTTTGGTCTCATCTGACCACAGCACTTTCACCCAGTTGTCCTCTGAATCATTCAGATGTTCATTGGCAAACTTCAGACGGGCATGTATATGTGCTTTCTTGAGCAGGGAGACCTTGCGGGCGCTGCAGGATTTCAGTCCTTCACGGCGTAGTGTGTTACCAATTGTTTTCTTGTTGACTATGGTCCCAGCTGCCTTGAGATCATTGAAAAGATCCTCCCGTGTAGTTCTGGGCTGATTCCTCACCGTTCTCATGATCAATGCAACTCCACGACGTGAGATCTTGCATGGAGCCTCAGGTCGTGGGAGATTGACAGTTTTTTTGTGTTTCTTCCATTTTCGAATAATCGCACCAACTGTTGTCACCTTCTCACCAAGCTGTTTGGCAATGGTCTTGTAGCCCATTCCAGCCTTGTGTAGGTCTACAATCTTGTCCCTGACATCCTTGGAGAGCTCTTTGGTCTTGGCCATGGTGGAGAGTTTGGAATCTGATTGATTGATTGCTTCTGTGGACAGGTGTCTTTTATACAGGTAACAAGCTGAGATTAGGAGCACTCCCTTTAAGAGTGTGCTCCTAATCTCAGCTCGTTACCTGTATAAAAGACACCTGGGAGCCAGAAATCTTGCTGATTGAGAGGGGGTCAAATACTTATTTCCCTCATTAAAATGCAAATCAATTTATAACATTTTTGACATGCATTTTTCTGGATTTTGTTGTTGTTATTCTGTCACTCACTGTTCAAATAAACCTACCATTAAAATTATAGTCTGACCATTTCTTTGTCAGTGGGCAAACGTACAAAATCAGCAGGGGATCAAATACTGTTTTCCCTCACTGCAGGGTGATTTTGGAACCGGCTGCATGTAAACGTATGCCTTTTAATTAATCCACAGTGCACGAGGGTATTTATCCATAAAATACAGCGATGGTAAGAATCTCCGGCGACTGGGTTGGCCTGCGATTATTTGCGCCCGTGTACCGACGCAGTCCCACACACAAAAATGAATAAATCTGTGATCGTTTTAACTATTTCTGACATTAACACAACATAATGGCGAGCTGAATTAACATGTTTACAAAAATAAGAATTTAAGACATCGCTATAGTGTGGGATATAATGAAGTCCAAAGGCGTTGTCAAATGACATGTTCAATTACATATCAAACAGCCAGTTTCTACAGTGCATCTGGTCTGCCCGTATTGCCACTGTAATTCGGTTAACCGTTAAATTGCTCACCAAGTCAAAATAAACATGCACATGACGTACCCAAGGACACAAATGCAACCTGCAAAGCATTGCACTCGCCACTTGCCGGTGGACGGATGGCCACATTAATTATGAATACAAACAAAAAAAAGCACGGACACGCCACACGCATGCGTACGCACGCACGCACGAGCGTGCACGCACACGTCATATGCCGCATCCTGAAGAAGCAAAGTCCCCGAAATAGACCGTGATATTTTTAGCACAGCTAGCATTGTCATCGGCAGCACACCTTGCATCTCACCGGTGGAAAAGAGAGAAAATACATCGCGAGAAAAAACAAGCATCCTGACCGAGGCATTACCTCAACATTCCCGTGAAGGCAGCGCCGATATTTTGTGATTTTTTTTTACGTGTTTATTGTTGAGCACTGACAGCATTGGTCGGCGCCGAGTAAGCGGAGAGCTACATTATCCGCTTTCCAATAGGATAGCGGGCGAGCACATGACCGCATCAGCTGTTGGGACCCGCTGCATCCCGATTGGCTGCAGCTTGAGGGTGGTTTCCGTGGCGACGGGAGGATAAAGGAGGTGATGCGGAAGGGGCAATGGCGTGGGAGAGAGGGACAGAGAGAGAGACGGCAGGCACGAGGGTGGTTGCTTCGCAAGCAGCTGACCAAACGGGGAGAGCGAACGCAAGTGATACCAAGCGCAGACGTCGTGCGGGGTGGGGGGGGTACGGGGGACGGGGAGTGGGACAGTGAAAGTGAGATTGCGACTGGGAAAATCGGTGAGAGAGAACAAGGGGAGGCGCAATGGGGCGCACAGGAAATGAGTTGCGGAAGGGAAATAGACTGGAGAAGGAGAGTTAAGATCCATTTACATGACCACCACTGGCACGAGCCACTTTTGATGAAATAAGAGCACATGGATGCACATGCATCCATCACGGACTCGAAGGAACTGCATCATGACTGCCGGGCGCTCATGTAAACGGATAAAGGGACACTGACGGAAAGGACAGAGTATTCAATTATGTGCCCAATACTAAAAATAAATGCGGTACGTCAGCATCTCAGTGCCACACCGTGTCGCCAATACACACGTGTACATTCATACGGTAGCTTACTCACCCTATTGTCTCCGTTGACGAGTCAAATCTGCAAAAGAGAAAAAACGCACAAAAGGATGCGTGAGATCATGGATTTTTCCTTACATGAATTCATTCTTTAAAGCTGCCATCCATTTTGCAGTCACGATGCACCTGACCGTACCATCGTGACGGTTTCCTGGCCAGCAGAAGAAAACAAAAGAGCAATCCACAAAAGCCCCAATATTCCTCACCTTGTAGACAAGCACGTTGGCCCTGTGTCTGCGGAATTACAGTGCAACATGACTCGGCAGCGTCATTCATAAAGATGATATCACGGACTTTTTTTCCCTTTAAATTATTTAAAAGCAAAAGTTGGCGGTGCATCTTAATCTTACCCATTGCGGTGACGTAGGTATATGTACATCATCGCAATGGGATGTATGTGTACATCATTTTTTTCCGGCTCCCACAAGGCCATGCGGGAGGGTAGTGTGGCACAGTTTGATGCCAGCTATCCATGCAATGCGGTCATGTCACTGCAATTCCCTACGGTGAGAACAATGTATGTAAAAACAGCAGCGCAATGCCTCTCGAAATAAAATCAACGCTGAACCGCTTGCGTGTTTCGAGATTCAGCGGTGAACGGGACCCACCATGCAACGTGCAGACGTCTCGGAACGGGCAAGGGTTAAATTCCAACGATGTGGCCTGAAATCTGCCATGTGAACCAACACGCTACAATTGTGCTAAGCGTCTAATCTACATGCCACTCAATCCACGTGCCACTCCGACCAAATGTCGCAGTCTACATGCCATTTATATTTACATATGACCCATGTCACATTTACCCATATCATTTTATATAATCAAATTTACCCTAAAACTGGGAGTGCATCTTATTTTCCAATACATCTGTTAATACAGAAATTACAGCAAAAGGTCCGGTGGTGAGATGTTATCTGCCTCGCCTGGTATGCAGGAGGACACGAGTTCGATCCCCAACCTGATGCCTGTATATTTGGAATTCGCAAAGAAACGTGCGTTTAGATATCTTGGCCGCTACTATGATTTCCCATGTATGATGATGATATCAGCCACTTCGATAAGCTATCATGTGTGGCCATGTCACCTCTGAAAAACATCTGATAGCTCAGTGGTAAATAAAATCGTTTATTTTAGTTGAGGAGTTCCAGACCGTGGGGGGCAGAAAAATGAGAGCGGGCGACCCTCCTACTCCGATCAGCATGGTCGGCTACGTACGGTGCGAAATAAGTTCAACATACATACAAAGGAAATGTTCACCGACGACATCGACAAGAGCCTTGATTGCGTGCGAGCAGGATTAAATTGGATCCACACCTGAGCGATCAGGTGTGCAACTTGGTGGCTTTTAACTGAATCGTTTGTCATGTAGACGTCTCCGCAACCAGTTGCGAGCAGTTGCACAACCAGCTGCTTACAGTGGAGACAGACTCGACTTACAACAAGCATCGACCTGCTCGGCGATGCGTAGCTAACGAATTTCATCACACGCACACCCTTGCCAACTACGATTGGTCGATGCAAATCTGCAAATGCGGTTTGATTTATCGGTTGTGCAACTAAACGCTCAGATGTGGACAAAGCAGTGGCAGGTGATAAGTCGGGCGATTTCGAGAGAGCAATTTTGGTTGGGCTGCTGATACACTACGCAGTGGACTCAGGTTTAGGGTTAACAAAGCTTCTTCACACTCTCGTCAAAAAAGCTGAGGACATACCAGCTGGGCAGATAAGTAAGAGTTAAGAGCTATTCGTCTCTTGGGTTGCATCTTCATTTTAGGTGGCTTGGCGGCACATTCAACCGCAATCCACATTCTCAATCGAGGGACACTAATTATTCAACCAAATGCTTAGCCACATTATAATAAACATGCCTTAAGATATGTAACAACAACAATACTCTTGAATATTTATAATTTCTTGCATCAATTTTCGTTCAATAAGCATATGTAATTCCATGGCAAAATGCTGATTTTATATGGACACTATGTAGTCCACATATACAACACATGTCGAATAAAGAAGAAATGTACGACACTTTGTCAATCCAATGCTGGATTAAGGCATTGAGCAACAGGGGGGGTGACTGTATATCAACCACCATATCTGTAATAATTTATGAATCCGTGTACGAATGTGCACAGATGCACATTTCCATATCCTGTGGATAATTATTAAATAACTGTAATATTGTGTAAATCTCCGCTTATGGTTTCTCTAAGTTAACGTACGGCAACCAACATTTTGGAGAAACAGTACCGTGTCATAGTGTCGCTTGGCAAAACTTCCAGCTAAAAGTATTCTCGTTCGTGTAAACCAAAACTTTACAAACTCGTTGTAGAGGAAGTGCAGACTGCACATTGAGCGACCACGTTGTGCAACGAATTACAAGTGTTCCCCAGAAACTGCAGACTCAAGGTGCCTTTGGATAAAGTGCTGAACAGAAGAAGAAAAAAAAGCAGGCGAGCAAGCTTCCACTCGCTCACCTTTTGGAACAATTTTACGTCAAATCAGTCCCGTGGGTCTGGCGCTGCGCGGGTCCGATTTAAGCGAACAATGTGCACGGAGACGATCTCCCCACGTCGACAGAGACGTAAATGCTGGCCGCTGCACAACACGTGGGCCGCGAGCCAGGAGATCATTAAATAAGGAGCACCTGTCTCCGCAGCGACGCCAGAACTCCCAGGAGGCGCGGGAAGGGGCGGATTACGCAACTCACGATGCAACTCGGAGCGCCGGGACAATACCGCAATTAATGCGCGGCCTTAGGAAGTCATTAGGTGCGGCTCGTCCAGTGATGAAAAGCACCTTTGAATACCAGCTACCAGCAGGTAACGACCACAGGTAACAGACCTGCAAATCACCCCCTTGGCTTTCCTATAAGACAGTCACCAGCCATTATGGATATGCAATTGGTGTCACGTGATGTCGAACCATTTGTCAATATACTGACGGATGAAGGCAGCTTCTCTACGCTGCGACAGTCACAGGGGGGATTTAACCACGCCGGTCACAATGGCTTTATGAGAAGGGAGTGGAGGACAGGTGGCGGGCGGGGTTGGAGGGCAGCTCAGGATCGGTTCAGATATCACTCGCTTGTCGATGCAGCACTCTCCTGCCCCACAACCCTAGTGGTTAGATGTTATCTGCCTCACACCTTGGTGGTGAGATGTTGTCTGCCTCACCTGGTATACAGGAGGTCGTGGGTTCGATGCGAACCCTGTATATTTGGAGTTTGCATGTCTCTCTCCCAGTGGTTGCGTGGCTTTTTCTCCGGGTCTTCCAGTTTTTCCCTCCACATTTATAAACATGTGTTTATGGAGTATTTGGTTGCTATACATTTAGACGGGATAAGAAGCCACTATCATTTGTGGCCATGTCGCTTCTGAAAAAAAAGCTATATAACTCAGAGGGCCTTACCTGGTAAACTAAATAAATAAAAAGTGATACTCAAATAAATTCTCAGTACTCGTTGCATTATTCTTACATCACCTCCGATTAGCACAGTCGGCTTCATACAGTGCTAAAGAAGTTCAAAATACATACATCAGAACCCCTGTCCCTGCTTATGGTCACATTGTATATCCTCATGGTGTCATCACAAAGTACTTCAGCTGGCGCGTTGTGTCGCATGCCTTCGCTCGAGAGCTTTGAAGACGGTTGTTAGTGCATATCGTAAATCAGCGACACCCTTAAATGCACTGAACTGTAAGGTGGCCAGAAGATGGTACAGCAAGCGGGTGAGTGGGTGGGTTTTTCTCCTAGTAATCTGGTGCCCTCCCAACATTAAAAACGCTCCTAAAAAGGAATTGGCCAAACATCCCGACGCAGCACTCTCCTGAAAGTCTTGCGACTCAGTGAGGCTTACCTGGAATATTAAATTACACTCTACAACATTACTAGAAAGAAATGGTCGACCACATTGCAAACACGTTCACAGGCATTAGTCGGCTTTTATTTGTGACACCTAACTCAAACATGTTTAACCACCCATGTAAGTCTTCTTCTTTCGTACGGCTGCTGATATAGATACGGAGCAATAATTACCATTCACATTTAGGTGGTCAAGCCAGATAACCGTATCAGAAGTAGCGGAGCGTATCACTGTGATGCCTCCTTCTTATTTGTGAATCGGGCATTGCATTATTATACGATGTACAGTCTGTTCTGGATGACCACAGTTGCACGCTACTGGAGAGTTTTTAAGTTTCCATTTGTGCATCAGGTATCCACATCTGCCATGGTTTGTGCGGGTGCAGCTTAGAGTAGACCATGATGAGCACACTCATCCTGCAAAATATAGATTTGTTGGGTAGCCGAGTGTTGCATTTCCTTGCCTCTGGGCTTAGGCATTCTGTGAAAAATCGCCGTGATCATCATGTTCATATCAATGGCGCTAACCCGAGTGATGATGGGTGATGTCCAGCCCGACCACGATGAACCTGCTGTTGAGGCCACCGACCATGTACATGTGCAGTCCCTTTTGTCTATCCACTGCTGGATGAGGGCCTCTGCACACCTTCCTAGATCTTAGATCGAATGGGATTGGGCACATTCCGATTCATAGGTAGACTGATCCATGCCATATCCCCAGCCATCACTTACTGGAATACTCCTCGCGTAAACCCCGCCGTGGCTATTCACCGGTGCACTGGAGAATTACTTATCTCATCCATTGTTGCAATAATTATGAGCGGACAACAATTAGCACGTATGCATAAAACATAACCCTCTTAACTTGCCACATGGTCTATTAGTCTTTCATTTTTCATTATCGTAATTGAATTTTATTTTTTTCGCTTTCCTTCCTGTTTCTTTCCGCCGCTCGTGATGCTGCGTCTCGCCAAGTCGCCCCGGCCGCTCTTTTCCCACCCCCCCCCCCCAGCGTGGCCCCCTGTTTTTTTTTTCTCGTACCATTGCCTTCACTCCCCACAGCCTCCAACCATGCGTCCCCAGCCGCTACCCCCCACCCGACATGCCACCGCTATCTCCCTTCCGCCACAGCCCTCCGTCAAACTACTGACGCCC